GCAGGGTCACGAGCGCTACTTCCTGTTGGTGGTTGACGACTACTCGCGTTACACCTCAGTCTTCCCCTTGCGCAGCAAGGGTGCTGTCACTGAGGTGCTGATCGACTGGATCCGCGAGGCTCGTCTCCAGCTCAGGAGGAGCTTCGGCTCGGACTTTCCTGTTCTGCGTCTGCACTCTGACCGAGGTGGGGAGTTCTCCTCTCGCCTTCTGCGAGACTACTGTCGTGCACAGGGGATCCGCCAGACCTTTACGCTTCCGGACTCTCCACAGCAAAATGGGATTGCTGAGCGCCGCATTGGCATGGTCATGGATGTCGCTCGTACGTCCATGATGCATGCGGCTGCCCCCCATTTTCTGTGGCCGTTTGCGGTTCGGTACGCGGCGCATCAGCTCAACCTTCACCCCAGGGTCTCTCGGCCCGCGATGTCCCCAGTGTTACTGTGGACGGGGAAGGTTGGCGATGCGTCTGCGTTCCGTGTCTGGGGATCTCGGGCGTTTGTCCGCGACTTGTCTGCGGACAAGCTGTCCCCCCGTGCTGCTCCCTGTGTCTTCCTTGGCTTCCCCCCTGACGCTCCAGGGTGGCAGTTCTACCACCCCTCCTCTCGTCGTGTTCTGTCCTCCCAGGACGTCACGTTTGACGAGTCAGTCCCCTTCTACCGCATCTTCCCCTACCGTACTCCTTCCCTTCCCCCCCCACCGGACTTCCTGGTACCAGTTCCCCCCCCGGTAGACCCCCTCCCCCCTCAGGTTCCTGCCCCTTCAGGTGTGTCCCAGGTAGACACGGTCGAGCCAGTCGAGGTTGCTGCTGAGTCTGGTCCTGCTGTGGGTGCTGAGCCTGGGGGTGCTGCTGCTGGGGGTGCTGAGCCTGGGGGTGCTGAGCCTGGGGGTGCGAGGCCGGGGGGGTGCTGAGTCTGGGGGTGCTGAGCCGGGGGGTGCTGAGCCGGAGGGTGCTACGTCAGGAGCTGCTGAGCCTGGGGGTGCTGGGCCTGGAGGTGCGGAGCCTGCGCCTGCTGGACCTGGGGGCTCTCCGGTTCTTCCGTCTCGGCGGGAGCCGCTCTCTCCACAGGAGCTGCGCGAGTGGTTTGCTCGCCGCTGGAGGCGTGCTGCTGGAGCTGGAGCTTCTTCGCCTGCTGAGGGTGCTGCCGGTCCCGGAGCTGCTGGGCCTGCGGGTCCTACTGGAGCTGGAGCTACTGAGTCTGGGGGTGCTGAGTCTGGAGCTGCTGAGCCTGGAGGTGCTGAGTCTGGAGCGGCTGTGCCTGGGGGTGCTGAGTCTGGAGCTGCTGAGCCTGGGGTTTCTCCTGCTGCTGCGTCTCGCCGGGAGCCCCTCTCTCCACAGGAGCTGCGTGAGTGGTTTGCTCGCCGCTGGAGGAGTGCTGCTGGAGCTGGAGCTTCGTCGACCGTCGAGGGTGCTGGTGCTGCCGGTCCCAGAGCTGCTGGGCCTGCGGGTCCTACTGGAGCTGGAGCTGCTGAGGGTGTTGGTGCTGAGACTACTGCTGTCTGTCCTGGCGGTGGTTCTGCTGCTGGTGCTGCTGGAGGTCCTGCCGCTGGAGGTGTTGGTGGCGCTGGTGCTGTCGCTGAGGGTGCTGGTGCTGTCCCTGCTGAGTCTGGAGCTGCCACGCGGCCTCGGCCGTACTTCGTTCCGCTCCTACAGCAGGTTCTTGGTCTTTCTCCTTCGGTAGAGTGTCCACAGCCTGTCCAGTCGCAGTCACTGTTGGAGCCTTCCTCTCCTCTGCCTGCTCCCTCTCCTTACACAGGTCCTACTGGAGGTCTTGCTGAGCGTCGTGAGCCTGCGTCTCGTCCCGCGTCGCCTGTTCGTGCTACTCGCGCTAGTGGTCGCGGTTCGCGTCAGCGTCCTCCTCCTGTCCCTGGCACGCACCGGATGTCTCTGCGTCCGTCCACTGCTCCTCTGCGTGCCCCTTTGCCTTCTCCTCCTGAGTCCTCTCTTCCTGCGCTTGCCGACCCTGAGTCGGACTCTCTTCGCGCTGCCAGTCCTACTGTCACGCGTCTGCTTGCTACTGTCGTCACTGACCCCTCTTTTGAGTCCACTGCTGCGTCTGCTCTAGTCGCTGAGCTCGTTGACTTTGCTGCTCGCTGTCGTCTCGACTACGCTGCTGGTCTTGTTGCTGAGTCTGCGTCTGTCTGTCCTCCGTCCGTCGGGGGTGAGTGTGCTCTTGGCACGGACGTCCTAGAGGACAGACAGGAGGAGTTACAGTGTCTAGCGGCTGCTTCACCTCATCTCGCGTCTGTACTGCTTGCCCCTGAGGGAGACCCGGATGCACTAGACATCCCGACTCCGCGTTCTTACGCGGAGGCCGTAGAGGGTCCCTACTCCTCTCAGTGGCAGACAGCTATGGATGCAGAGATGGCTTCCTGGAAGTCCACAGGCACCTACGTTGACGCAGTTCCCCCTCCTGGGGCGAACATCGTCAGTGGCATGTGGATCTTCCGGGTGAAGCGGCCGCCGGGCTCTCCACCTGTCTTCAAGGCGCGGTACGTTGCTCGTGGCTTCAGTCAGCGGCAGGGAGTTGACTACTTTCAGACCTTCTCTCCCAACCCGAAGATGACCACTCTTCGGGTGCTGCTGCACATAGCCGCTCAGCGCGACTACGAGCTTCACTCTCTCGACTTCAGCACTGCGTTCCTACAGGGTAGCCTGCACGAGGAGATCTGGCTGCGCCGTCCACCTGGCTTCACTGGGACTTTCCCTCCTGGCACCCAGTGGAGCCTCCGACGGCCAGTCTACGGTCTCCGCCAGGCACCGCGTGAGTGGCACGACACACTGAGGACTACGCTGGCGGCACTTGGGTTTGCTCCTTCTACTGCTGACCCGTCGCTGTTTCTGCGCACCGACACTTCACTGCCGCCGTTCTACATCCTCGTGTACGTCGACGACTTGGTCTTTGCCACAGCGGACACTGCTGGACTCGCCTACGTGAAGTCCGAACTACTGAAGAGACACACGTGCACAGACCTGGGTGAACTGCGCAGCTACCTTGGCTAGCAGATCACTCGGGACAGAGCACGCCGCACCATTACCTTGACTCAGTCACACATGGTGCAGCAGGTCCTTCAGCGCTTCGGCTTCACGTACTCCTCGCCTCAGGCCACTCCTCTGCCTACTCGCCACTCACTCTCAGCTCTGCCTTCGGATGAGTCCGTAGAGTCGAGTGGTCCGTATGCAGAGCTTGTTGGCTGCCTCATGTACCTGATGACCTGCACACGACCTGACCTTGCATACCCTCTGAGCATTCTTGCACGCTATGTTGCTCCTGGGAGACACAGACCAGAGCACATGGCTGCAGCGAAGAGGGTATTGCGCTACCTGTGCAGTACGTCGGGCATGGGGCTTGTGCTTGGAGGGCGGAGTCCAGTAGTCCTTACCGGCCACGCGGACGCTTCTTGGGCTGACGACCAGGCTACGCAGCGGTCGTCACAGGGTTACACCTTCAGCCTTGGTTCCGGCTCTGTCTCGTGGCGGTCTACTCGCTCGTCTTCGGTTCTCGGCTCCAGTTGTGAGGCTGAGATCTACGCCGGGGCCATGGCTGCACAGGAGCTTCGCTGGCTCACCTACCTGCTGACTGACCTTGGAGAGCCGCCTCGTTCTCCTCTAGTGCTGTACGTAGACAACAAGGCCATGCTGGCCTTGTGTTGAGAGCAGCGCTTGGAGCACAGAACGAAGCACATTGCTCTCCGCTACTTCCTTGCTCGTGAGCTGCAGCAGCGTGGTCAGTTGCGACTTGCGTACGTGGCCTCTGAGGCCAACACTGCTGATGTGTTCACCAAGGCACTCGCGCCTTGTGACCATCAGCGCTTTTGCACCCAGCTGGGTCTTGTGCCTGTCTTGCCTCACTTGCTCTCCTCTTGACTTCACTTGTACTGTGACATATATATATACCTGCTCTTGCTTGTCTAGTTTTATATATATGTCTGTACTCCTGCATGTGAACTGGCCTCTGGCCCTGCTCTTGTGCTCGGACTGTGTGGTGACTTTGTGATCCACCCTGAGCTTGTTTTGCTTTGCTTGACTGGTCTTGTGACCCCTTGTTCTCCCCCACTTTGCCTATGGGGGTGTGTCAAACATTAGATATGTTCTGCTTGTGTAGGCTACAGTGGGTTAGCCTATAAGGGGTACACAATTCTTGGGTTTCCTACTTGTACTCATTTCACTGCTAGTTCATTCATTCCTGTTCGCTTATTCTCACAACGTACTACCAAATTTGCCTCTGCAAGTATTCAGGATGACGTGGCGTCCCGAACAACGGTTGCCTAAGTGGCACCTTTGCAACATCCATACTCTAAATGAGAAACTCTTTTCAAGATGCGTGAAAATATTTCTACGTAGTTTAAAAAAGTTTCCATTTATAAGACTTATAAGACACCCAAAACCTCCCCAAATACAAGATAACCCAAGCATTTTTTTAGTGTATGAGATAAGACATATATGTCTTATATCCGGGCGATGACAGTAGCCAAGCAATGTACACTTACAAACATTTAAGTGCATGTTGACAAGGATTCTAATGTCCAGGGGTCTCATACCTAGTCCAATCCAGACCCAGAGACTCCAATCCAGGATATTTTGATTAGAATTCTACGGTAGTAGGAAACAGAATCAGCGCTTGCTTGCATTTGGTGCTTCGAACTACTGTATGTGTAAAAGTTAACCACTCGACATGGTAGGTGATTGAAACCATTCGATTCGAGTCATACCGTATATCCTCCTGCCAAGTGAACAAAAGTTTTGCAACGCCACACAAGAAACGTTGTAGAATCTCCCCTCGTTGCCTTAGCGCACCTCCCTAGGCACGACTCGAAGGTGCTTGTAAGCCATCACTGACGTGGCTGTGAAGAGAGAAAACCTGAGAATCAACCAAGTGTGAAGTTACACGCCACCCAGAAAGACCGAAGCCAGCAATTTTATGTACAGCATGTAAGCTAAACATCAAACATACCTAACTCACAATTATAACAGGACATAAGTAATTTGGCGGCCGAAGATTCACCAGGTGGCGGCGTAGGTGATGTGGTCGGTGGGCATGACTGGCAGCTTCACGAGCTCCTCCGGGTCCTTGGGGCGAGGGAAGCGCGGGTCGCTGGAGAATGCAGGACACACACCCGCCTGCCCGCTGCTGCTGTTGCTGCTGCCGGTGCTGTGAGTTGTATTTTCTTCCTCTTCCTCGGTTGGTTTCATGGCGTCCAATAGCAGAGTGCCACGTGGCAGGCCACATCCCTGGGCCATGGCCGCCACGTCCACCCAGAACCATTTGCCGTGCTCCGGCGCGTTGGGAGGCACAAAGTGGTTCGGCTTCTCACTGCCTCGCACCACCCCGGACACGCGTATAATAGGGGGGGTGTTGGGCTGTATGGAGGGGAGGGGGAAGGGAGATGTGGAGGGAAAGAGCACTTGTTTGAACAACAAGAGTCGTAAGTGCTCTAGGGCGGCACAAAGTGGCCTCGGCCCACACCAGACACACGGATAACCGGGGGTGCGTTGGGCTGTGTGTGGTGGAGGGGAGGATGAGATGGGAAGGAAAACAGCACTACTTGAGACAACAACCCTCCCGCTGGCTCGCACCACACCAGACACACGAATCACAGGAGGGGCGTTGGGCTGCGTGGAAGGAAGGAGGAGATGGGAAGGACATAAAAAACTCTTCAGCAGTAAGTAAGTGGTTCAACTTCTCGTTGCCTGGGACCAATCCAAACACTTCATTTATGGTCCTTTTTTTTTTTTTGGTTGAATGGATGCACTAGCAGCATGCATACATTCACAATCCAGACACACGGATCACAAAGGCGTGGTTGGCAAAGTTGAGATCACTGTGGGGACACTCACGGGCGTGGAAGATGGGAGACAGGGAGGGGAAGATCAAGTTCGTGATGTGAATGACAGCCCAAAACCTCTCCCATCTTATGTTACGGGTCATTGGGTGGCACTTTGTGCTTGGGTCACTTTTGAGATGGGATCTTATGTTCTCAATTTGAATAGATCCGATCGTATCTGACCTAACCTGATCTGATCTGCTTTTGACTACAAGCCTCACCTCGCTGCCTGCTGTCTCTGCCTTGGTTGAGGCCCGCCCTTTACCTCCCCCCGACCCAAACCACCCCCTGCTGCTACCCTTCACACTAACGTCACCGCTGCTGCTCCTGCCACTGCTGCTGCTTCCGCCACCACCACTCCTGCTCGTCCTACTGCCACCGCTCTCAACCTCCTCCTTCCCCACCTCGCCTGCAGCCCCCCTCGCCCTCTCTCCCGCCATCCATGTGTCTGCCTCTCGTCTCACTGCCTCCGGCACCCACCCCCTGTTCACCAGCACTGCTGGCTGCTGGCTGCATAGGGAGAAGGGGAAAGAGGCGATGGGGGGGATGAGGGGATGAGGGAGAGCAGTGGGGAAAAGGAACAGTCAGGAAGAGCACTCAACATGCACGTTTCGCCTAACTGCCTCGGGCACCCACCCTCTGCTCACCAGCACTGCTGGTTGCTGGCAGTGAGGAGAACATGAGAAAGGGGGAATCGTGGAATGGGGAATAGACAATGGAGAATGGGGGATCGAGGGGTAGCAACAGGAAGGAGGGGAAGCAAGGAGAGACAAGGAAAGAGGAAAGAGTAGGGGAGGGAGCGAGGTAACTCCACTGGCTTTTCGAAACATGGAGCTCTCTCGATGGCACCACGTGGTGCACCAGCACCATGTGTGTGGGCCCTCTAGCTCACAGGTGGCATGAGATGAGGTGGCATGCGATGAGGTGGCATGAGATGAGGTGGCATGAGATGAGGTGGCATGAGATGAGGTGGCATGAGATGAGGTGGCATGAGATGAGGTGCCAGGCCAGCACTCGGGAGGAACATGGCTCTCGCTTCACTGCCTCTGGGGATGGAGACAGAACCAGGGGAAGAGAGGGCGACGATTGGGGCAAGAAGCGAGAGAACTTCACAGGTTTTCCGAGGCATGCCGCTGGGCACAGGGCATTGGCACATGCGTGGGCCCTCTAGCATAAACGCACCTGCCCTCACTGGAGCAAACCCTTTCAATAACAGTTTGAAAAGTGCATATGCATTACCTGTCAGCAGCGGGCGGCAGTGGCGTGACAAGAAAGTTCCGTTTCTCCTGCACGCCCCTCACGGCATTCAAGGGGAGTGATTCACTCACGGGGCGAATGCGCATACCTGCCAGCGGGAGGCAGCAGCGGAGTGACGACGAAGTACCCTTTCTCCTGGGCGCCCCGCAAGGCTGATGTGATAATTTGACGGGGGGGATTAGCTTACACATACCTGCCAGCACGTGGCAGCAGTGGCGTGACAAGGAAGTACCCCTTCTCCTGTGCGCCCCTCACTGTGTGCGCCCGCATTGGCATGAAAGACGAGTGCTTTACTGACGGGGCGAATGGACATACCAGCCAGGGGGAGGCATGAGCGGAGTGACAAGGAAGTACCCCTTCTCCTGCGCACCCCTGCCCAGCCAAACACCTGCCATAACTACAGTGAAAAGTGCCCTCCTTGCCCTGCCCAGCCAAACACCTGCCATAACTACAGTGAAAAGTGCCCTCCTTGCCCAGCCAAGCACCTGCCATAACTACAGTGAAAAGTGCCCTCCTTGCCCTGCCAAGCACCCACCTGCCAGATGGAGGGATGAGCGGAGTGACGAGGAAGTACCCCTTCTCCTGTGCGCCCCTCACTGTGTGCGCTCTCGGCCCCACAAACAGCGACCGTGCATCGTCGTACCGCCCCGCACACTCCACCCGCCGGAACTCCAACTCCCCTGCTGCCAAACCAGACCCTTCTGCTGCCAAACCAGACCCTTCTGCTGCCAAACCAGACCCTTCTGCTGCCGAACCAGACCCATCTGCTGCCGAGCTAGGCCCACGAGGCCCGGAAGCGGCTGCAGGAGTGGCTGCAGGAGTGGCTGCTGGAGTGGCTGCAGGAGTGGCTGCAGGAGTGGCTGCTGGAGTGGCTGCTGGAGTGGCAGGTGGCAGCAGGGGCAGTGCGGTTTCCTCCCCGGCTGCCAGGGCGTGTGCCTGCAGGGCTTCCAGCAGCAGCACTGGCGGCTCCTGCAGGCGCTGCTGGTCAGCCAGTCTTGCAATTGTTGCATGCACCAAAGCAGAAATAAAATTTGAACCTAACTCTGTATTGCTTGAATGTGACTCAGGTATTCCAGACAAAGGATGCAAACCAAGTCCGACTGCTGTCAAATGGCTCTCCAAACCAAGGTACGCTGCTGCTTGCTGCTCATGGGTGTCGCACTGTAAGGGCATCCCGTGCACTAGCAAGCATCTGTACCGTATTTCATTCTGCGGGGCCACCTGAGGTTGATCTGTGCTAATGCAGTGCGTGTGAGGGCCTTCCCATCACGAGTCTCTCAAGGCATGGGCTGTTCGTGCCGTGCCGTGCCATGCCGTGCCATGCCGTGCCGTGCTGCTATCTGCTCCCAAGAAAAGGAATGGGAGCGGAGGCCTGGCATCACGAGACAAAGGGGATACCAGATGGCACCGAGGCAGCGTTTCGTGCGTACTTGAGGGGCACGGGAGCAGAGGAAATGGCGTGGTGAGTTGAAGGGAGTACCAGATGGCACCAAGGGAGTGCGTACTCGAGTCCAAAAACTGGTGCAGGTAGAACTCCTCGTAGCTGCATGGAGGGGGGACGGGAGATGAGAGGGCGATGAGGCGAACGAAAGCAGGAGGGCAGCGCATTGCAGGAACTTGAGATCGATGAGCTGGTGCAGGCAGAACTCGTAGCTGGCGTGGGGGAGGATGGGAACAGGAGGAGGGTATGGGAGCTGACTGAGGGCATGTGCCCTCTTCTGAAGGAAGGATGTGATGGGAATGGTGCACGGGGCACTGGAGGGCGGGAGGCTCGTATGGTGGGGAGGTGGTGGAGGGAACTGAGGTGGGCGGGTGAGGGGGATGACGAGATTTGTGTTTGTGGCTTCAGAGGAGAAGTGGTGACAGGGTGTCTGAAAAGCCTCTAGCATGGTACCTGCAAATCCTCCACTGCCCATGCAACCTCGCAACTCTACCACTCAGTCGTGGTATTACAGCTCTAGCCCCACTCCCTCTGCAACCATAGGGTAACCTATGAATCAAGGGTTTGCAAGCGAGGGGGTACTTCATTAGATGCCTCTGGGCCCACAAGGTAACCCGTAGCATGCCTACACAAGCCAGGGGGCAACTCACGGGATGCCTGCGCAAGCAAGGCAGTAACTCACGGGATGAAGGGTGCACAAGCAAGAGGACAAACTCACGGGATGAAGGGTGCACAAGCAAGAGGACAAACTCACGGGATGAAGGGTGCACAAGCAAGAGGACAAACTCACGGGATGAAGGGTGCACAAGCAAGAGGACAAACTCACGGGATGCGGACGGCGAAGAAGCGCCAGGAGACGAGGGCGAAGGCGAGCGTGCAGAGGGGGTTGACTAGCAGCAGCTGCGTGGCTATGCTCCACATGAACCACCCCGTGTAGCCCGGATGCCACACCCACCTGCCATGGGCATGTGGGCGACATGGGCAGGGCATGGGATGATTGCACCACACCACTCACATCATGCTCCACACGAACCACCCCGTGTAGCCTGGGTGGCGCACCCACCTGAAATAAGATTGTGGGGAACATGGGCACATGAAATGAGCACATGAGCATGTTGGGGACACAGGCGGGGTTAGAAGCGCATGGGATTGCATGTGAACATGGGCAGCAGCTCCGTGGCTATGCTCCACACGAAGCACCCCGTGTAGCGTGGATGGCTCACCCACCTGCCATGGGCATGTGGCATGTGGGGAACATGCGTAGGGCATGGGATGGTCGCTTTTGAGAATTTCCTAAAGGAGCTGTGCTCCACATGAACCACACCGTGTAGCGAGGATGGCTCACCCACCTGCTATGGGCATGTGGCATGTGGGGAACATGGACATAGCAGTTGGGGACATGAGCATGTGGGGAGGGCAAAGGCGGAGTGGTCACATCCAGCAGCTGTGTGGCAATGCTCCAAGCGAACCACGCCGTGTTGCATGGGTGGCGCACCCACCTGCCCTGGGCATGTGGGGAACATGGGTAGGGCATGGGATGGTCACACATGGGTAGGGCATGGGACGGTCACACATGGGTAGGGCATGGGATGGTCACACATGCATGCAGTGCTAGCGGTGCAGGCAGAGGAGCCACAGTGACACTCCCATGCAAGCAGGCATCTCAACGCCCAGGCATGAACGAGGCTGTTTCCTCCCAGTAATTAACTATGCCTGCTCACATGGGCAACCTGCCCACCTGGGCAACCTGCCCACATGGGCAAGCTGCCTTCCAAGTGAAGTCAGGGCTGGGCTGAGCCCACATCCCCATGAATACTCCACCAAACTTCTTCACTGCTGTTGCGCCCATCCAGCTGCCACCTGTACCAGCAACTGCCACCTGTAGCAGCAGCTGCCACCTGTACCAGCAACTGCCACCTGTACCAGCAGCTGCCACATGTACCAGCAACTGCCACCTGTACCAGCAGCTGTCACATGTACCAGCAACTGCCACCTGTACCAGCAACTGCCACCTGTACCAGCAACTGCCACCTTTACCAGCAACTGCCACCTGTACCAGCAACTGCCACCTGTACCAGCAGCTGCCACCTGTACCAGCAACTGCCACCTGTACCAGCAACTGCCACCTGTACCAGCAACTGTCACCTGTACCAGCAACTGCCACCTGTACTACCAACTGCCACCTGTACTACCAACTGCCACCTGTACTTCTCTTGTGCCACGTTGCAGTGGTTGCGCCACTTGGGCGTCAGGGTTGTCCACATCAGCACACACACGCCCTTACTTGTCACCCATCCACCCTGCAAGTGCCCACTGCCCACCTGTACAGGAACACCATACACACACCACCACCCAACCGCACCCACCTGTAAAGCCCGTGTGTGACCAGTCGGTGTTCGCGCCGCTTCTCCGTCTGAATGTCATGAGTGAAGCTCCGCCCTGCCGTCACCATGGCTGCCTTGCGCACCGCTTCCCCCGCCAGCAGCAGCGCCCCCCCCACCCACGCCACGGGCCACAGGCGGCGCTTGAAGGCTGGGAAGAGGGCGGTCTCGAGGGCATATTCAGTGAGCGCTGCTGCCATGGCCAGCAGATACTCCCGCGAGAAGAGGAACGCTGCATGGCTAGCGGGGGTGGTGTGCGGTGGAGAGGGATGGGGAAGGTGTGTGGGGAGAGGGAAAGCGAACACTGAACAGACAGCACACAAGGATGGGAAGAAGGTGGCCTCGAGAGAATACTCAGTGAGCGCTGCTGGCACGAGGAGATGCTTTCGCGAGAAGAGGAAGGCTGCATGGCTAGCGGGAGGTGGGGTGCGGTGGAGAGGGGTGGGAGTGGGGGGAGAGTGTGGGGGAGGGAGGGAAAGCGAACTTTGAACAGATCTCAAGCAGCAGCAGCAGCACCCCCAACAGCAGCACCCCCAGCAGCAGCGGACCCCAAAAAAGTGCCACCGGCTAGAAAAAGGGGCAGGGCAGTGGGGAGGGGAAGGGAGCAGGATGAGGTTGTGCGGCCGGGAGATGAGTGGAAAAGGACGGGAAGGATGAAACTAGCGGGACAGATGGGGAAGGGGAGGGGCATTGCAGCGTTGTGAAGGGAAGTTCCTCCTGTGCGACAACGATGGCAGGAGTGGCGGACGGAGGGGATAGGAAGGCTGGAGGGATGAGATACCGGAGGCGCATTGAAGTGTCAACACAGCGCCCCCGCAATCAGCGCCCTTGCCAGAGACGCAGAGGAGAGGGGACGGATTGGCGATGAGGGGGAGAAGACGAGGCGAGCGAGAAGAGAAGGGAACCAGAAGCGGGGAGGCGAGGCGAGGGGAAGGCGAGGCGAGGCGAGGCGGCGAGGCGAGGGGAAGGCGGGAAGGTGAGGGGAGGGGAAGTCGAGGCGAGGCGAGGCGAGGGGAGGCGAGGCGGCGGGAAGCCGAGGCGAGGCGAGGGTAAGGCGCGGCGGCGTACATCGGAGGTCGGGTTTGCCGGTGGACCAGAGCGCGAGGAGGAACTCGGAGGAATGGAAGAAGACGAGCGCCGCGAGGAACGCCGCCAGCATCGTGACTCCTCGTGCGATATCGCTCGCTTGTTACCCCCCGAGGGTTTTACTACACGAGACGACGCAAGCGCTCGAATGTTTCCTTCAATGCTTTTGGTACTGCTACAACTCGAGTGTGACGCGATCGCTTGTTTCAGAGGCTTACGCCTTTCGAGGCGCCTCAGAACTCGGAGGAACGGAAGAGGGCGACTGCCGCTGCGAAGCCGCCAGCATGGTCACGACGATGCGCGAAATCGGTCGCTTGTCTCGTTCAAGGCATCTACTACTACTCGCCGTGCGATGCGCTGTGTGAGCAGGTTTGGCGATTCGAGACTGAAGTAGATGAACAGGCTTGATTCGAGACTGCATCATCGGCCTCATAACGTAGTAATTCAGGGTAGATCACTGCGACAATCGAACTTTCGCGAAACAAATTTGACGAAAGTAAGAATGCCCACGCCTTTACCAGGCGATGAAGCAATAAAACCGCCCTCTAGTGCACAATACCGTACTAAATCGTTTTGGGACCTGCTCCACGGCTGGTTCCCATGCCTCAGTTTATCTGGAACCGTTTTTTATCGTGAAAGATCCACCCGAACCGCATTGTCTCAACAACGTCAGAAGAATTCCAACTCCACAACTGCGATTTTCAATTCTCCCTCCCTCCACTCCCTCCCAAGTCCTCAACTCACAGGTTCTCAAAATCGGCCGCAGAGGCCAACGACGGAAACTACACCGAAATTGGCTTTCCCGCTCACAGCTTTCTGCAGTCCTAGAAACTGTCAGCCCACTCACAATGAGGCGAAGCTATTGTCATTTTAAAGCCGCGGTGCAGATATCGCTGCGCCAGTTCAAAGTATTATAGCTTGAAAGGTGTGTCAGATTTATATGCCATGTATGCTGTGACTATTAGTGAGGAGGGTGACTGTTACCGGTGTTTCCCGCCCGACCCGGGCATTGGTACTGCGGCTCTAGGTGCTGTTGAGGCTGCTGCTCCAGGTGCTGGTGAGGCTGTCGCTCTAGGTGCCAGTGAGTCTGTGTCCTCAGGTGCTGGTGAGTCTGCTCTCTCAGGTACAGCGTCGGCTCCGCCCTCTCTCACCTTCACTCTTGACTCTGGGGCGTCTCGCTCCTTCTTTCGAGACCGCACCACACTCACGCCGCTCAGTCGGCCAGTGGCGGTCTCCCTGGCGGACCCCTCTGGGGGTCCTGTTCTGGCTCGCTACTCCACTGTCTTGCCGTGCCCTGCGGTCCCGTCCGGCGCCCTGTCCGGTCTCTACCTCCCCTCGTTCTCTACGAACTTGGTGGCGGGTGCTGACCTACAGGATGCAGGGGTTGACCAGTTCACCCCTGCGCGCCGACGGGATACCCACTGCACGGACGCGGACACGGGTCGACACTTGACCACGTTCACACGTGGGCCGGGGTCGAGCCTGTACACACTCACTGTTCCGTCTCCTCCTCCTGCGTCTGGTCAGGTAGCAGCGTCGGGCCAGGTGTTTGCTGCAGCGTCCAGGTCTGGTCCTGAGTCTGCCCCCTGCTCGTGTCGCCTCCTGTCTCACGAGACCCTCCTGTGGCACCACAGGATGGGTCACCCCTCCCTGCCTCGTCTCCGGGGCATGGCCTCTCGCCTTCTTGTCTCTGGTCTTCCTCGGTCCCTCCCTCCCCTTCCTCCGGGGCCTGGTCCTCCCTGTGTCCCCTGTGTCGAGGGTCGCCTGCGGGCTACCCCTCACTCCTCACCCTTTCCTCCGACGGAGGCCCCGATGCAGACGCTTCACATGGACGTGTGGGGCCCAGCCCGCGTCCGTGGACAGGGTCACGAGCGCTACTTCCTGCTGGTGGTTGACGACTACTCGCGTTACACCACGGTCTTCCCCTTGCGCAGCAAGGGTGAGGTCACTGAGGTGTTGATCGACTGGATCCGCGCAGCTCGTCTCCAGCTCAGGCGGAGCTTCGGCTCGGACTTTCCTGTTTTGCGTCTGCACTCGGACAGAGGCGGGGAGTTCTCCTCCGGCCTTCTGCGAGCCTACTGTCGTGCACGAGGCATCCGCCAGACCTTCACGCTTCCGGACTCTCCACAGCAGAATGGGATTGCTGAGCGCCGCATCGGCATTGTCATGGATGTCGCCCGTACGTCCATGGTGCATGCGGCTGCCCCCCATTTTCTGTGGCCGTTTGCGGTGAGGTACGCCGCGCACCAGATCAACCTTCAGCCCAGGGTCTCCAGACCGGAGACCTCCCCAGCTCTGCTGTGGACGGGGAAGGTTGGCGATGCGTCGGCGTTCCGTGTCTGGGGATCTCGGGCGTTTGTCCGCGACTTGTCTGCGGACAAGCTGTCCCCTCGTGCTGCTCATTGCGTCTTCCTGGGTTTCCCCCCTGACGCCCCTGGGTGGCAGTTTTACCACCCCACCTCTCGTCGTGTTCTGTCCTCCCAGGACGTCACGTTCGACGAGTCGGTCCCCTTCTACCGGCTCTTCCCCTACCGCACTCCCTCCCTTCCCCCACCGCCCCTCTTCCTGGTCCCAGGTCCCCCCCCGGTAGACCCCCTCCCCCCTCAGGGTCCTGCCCCTTCAGGTGTGTCTCAGGTAGACGCGGTCGAGCCTGTTGAGGTCACTGGTGACTCTGGTGCTGCTGCGGGTGCGGAGCCTCGGGGTGCTGAGCCTGGGGGTGCTGAGACTGGGGGTGCTGAGCCTGGGGGTGCTGCGACTGGGGGTGCTGAGCCTGGGGGTGCTGAGACTGGGGGTACTGAGCCTGGGGGTACTGAGCCTGGGGGTGCTGAGCCTGGGGGTGCTGAGCCTGGGAGTACTGCGACTGGGGGTGCTGAGCCTGGGGGTGCTGAGCCTGGGGGTGCTGAGCCTGGGAGTACTGCGACTGGGGGTGCTGAGCCTGGGGGTGCTGAGCCTGGGGGTACTGCGTCTGGGAGTGCTTCGCCTGTTGCTCCTCTTCCTGGTGGTTCGAGCCGCGAGCCGCTCTCTCCTCTGGAGCTACGTGAGTGGTTTGCCCGGCGCTAGAGGCGCGCTACTGGAGCTGGGGGTGCTGCGGGTGCTGGAGGTTCTGTTGCTGCTGAGGGGGCTGGTACCACGGGTCCCGGAGGTGCTCGTACTGCGAGTACTGGAGCTGCCGGGCCCGGGGGTGCCTCTGGAGCTGGAGCTGCTGCGGGTGCTGGCGCTGAGACTACGACTGTCGGTCCTCCTGAGGGTACTTCTGACTCTGCTGGAGGTGCTGGAGTTGGAGCTGCTACTGGTGCTGGTGCTGCCTCTGGAGGTGTTGGTGCTGTCCCTGCTGTCTCTGGCGGTGCTGCGCGGCCTCGGCCGTACTTCGTTCCGCTCCTCCAACAGGTTCTTGGTCTCCCGCCTTCCACTGGTCCTTCTCCTCCCGTAGAGTGTCCACAGCCTGTTCCGTCGCAGTCACAGTTACAGCCCGCCTCTCCCCTGCCTTCTCCTTCTCCCTACGCTGGTCCTACTGGAGGTCTTGCTGAGCGTCGTGAGCCTGCGTCCCGCCCTGCGTCGCCAGTCCGAGCTGCTCGCCCTAGTGGTCGCGGTTCGCGTCAGCGTCCTCCTCCTGTCCCTGGCACGCACCAGATGTCTCTGCGTCCGTCCACTGCTCCTCTGCGTGCCCCTTTGCCTTCTCCTCCTGAGTCCTCTCTTCCTACTCTTGACGACCCGGAGTCGGACTCTCGCCGTGCTGCCAGTCCTACTGTCACGCGTCTTCTTGCTTCTCTTGTCACTGACCCTTCCTTTGAGTCCGCTGCTGCGTCTGCCCTAGTTGCGGAGCTGGTCGACTTTGCTGCTGCGTGTCGTTTAGACTACGCTGCCAGTCTTGTTGCTGCGTCTGCTGAGTCTGCTGAGTCTGCGTCTGCTGCGTCTGCGTCTGCCTGTCCTCCGTCCGTCGGGGGTGACTGTGCTCTTGGCACGGACGTCCTTGAGGACAGGCAGGAGGAGTTCCAGTGCTTTGCCGCCGCTTTGCCCCATCTTGTGTCCATGCTTGTTGCCCCTGAGGGAGACCCGGATGCTCTAGACATCCCGACCCCACGCTCTTACGCAGAGGCGATGGCCGGTCCCTACTCCTCTCAGTGGCAGTCAGCCATGAACGCAGAGATGGCTTCCTGGAAGTCCACAGGCACCTACGTGGACGCTGTTCCCCCTCCTGGGGCGAACATTGTCAGTGGCATGTGGATTTTCAGGGTGAAGCGGCCGCCGGGTTCTCCGCCTGTCTTCAAGGCGCGCTACGTGGCTCGTGGCTTCAGTCAGCGACAGGGAGTTGACTTCTTTCAGACCTTCTTCCCGACCCCGAAGATGACCACTCTTCGGGTTCTGCTGCACGGCGCTGCTCAGCGTGACTACGAGCTACACTCTCTTGACTTCAGCACTGCTTTCCTGCAGGGCCGCCTGCACGAGGAGATCTGGCTGCGCCGCCCTCCTGGTTTCACTGGGTCGTTCCCTCCTGGTACCCAGTGGAGCCTCCGGCGGCCAGTCTACGGTCTCCGCCAGGCGCCGCGCGAGTGGCACGACACACTGAGGACTACACTTGCGGCTCTTGGGTTTGCTCCTTCTACTGCTGACCCGTCGCTGTTTCTGCGCACCGACACCTCGCTGCCGCCGTTCTACATCCTCGTGTACGTCGACGACTTGGTCTTTGCCACTGCGGACACTGCCGC